CCCACAGTACAAGAGGGATGTGGAGCTGCTGGAGAGACTCCAGCGCAGGGCTACAAGGATGATCAGGGGCCTGGAACATCTGCCCTATGAGGAGGGACTCAGCGAGTGAGACCTGGCAGAGCACTGGAACAGACTGCCCAGAGAGGTTGTGGAGTCTCCCTCTCTGGAGATCTTCAAAGCCCACTTGGACGCAGTTCTGTGCCACCTGCTCTAGGTGACCCTGCGTGTGCAGGGGGGTTGGACTAGATGACCTCTAGAGGTCCCTTCCAACCTTAAGGATTCTATGATTCTATGTTCAGCCTGGAAAAGAGAAGGCTGAGAGGGGACCTGACCAGTGTATAGAAATACCTCAAGGGAGGCAGTGAGGAGGATGGTGCTGGCCTCTTTTCAGTGGTGGCCACCGACAGAACTAGAGGAAACGGCCGGAAACTGAAGCATCAAAAGTTCCACAGGAACTTAAGAATTTTTTCCTTAACAGGGAGGGTGACAGAGCACTGGAACAGGCTGCCCAGAGAGTTTGTGGAGTCTCCTTCTCTGGAGATCTTCAAAACCTGCTTGGATGCAGCCCTGTGCCACGTGCTCTAGGGTTGGACTAGATGATCTTCAGAGGTCCCTTCCAACCTTACTAATTCTATGATTCTATGATTCCCCTTCACATTTTATGCCCTCCCTAAAACTACAGCAAGGGCTTGAGGACCCTGACTAACCAAGGTGCTTGTCCACAAAGTTTATTATAAAAAAGGTGATGCCTCTATCATTACAAAAAGTCCCTGATTTCAGTTCTCTGTGCCAAGCTCAGCCCTTTCCCAGTGGCTACATTCCAGTTCTCCAGCAGTTTGCACCAACTTGCCACGCAGAAGTGCCTTCCCAGTAGCTGGAACGTGGTGTAACAGTGGCTCAAGATTCAGTGTTAAGTCACATTATAGTCAGAGAACGTCACCTATAAAAACCATTCTCACTTCTAAAACAGGTAGATAAAAGTTAGATGTGGCTCCTAAAAAAGCATCACAGTGCAGAAAGTTTGGAACTGAACTCTTTTCCTGTGCAAACTTTCTTGATCTGAAAAAAACAGAAGGCACAGAAGAGGAACATTAATCACTTGATTCAATTCTTTCCCAGAAAGAGGAGTAAGTTAGGTGAGGAGTTAAGCTCAGTGCACCTGGACCTGCTACTTCACCCACTACTTTGAGCTGATGCACTCTAGAGTAGAAATAGATTTGCCTCCATGTATCAAAGACTTTCAAATAGCCTTTCAAGTTTGGGGGCTACCCTTTGTGTGTGAAACACAGCAACTGTGCTCAGCAGAGCTACAAGCTGGTATCTGAAAAGGAAGGACAGAAAATTCAGGCCCTTGGCTGTGTTTTCTAAGGATCAAAGATCTTACAGTCTGATTTGATTTACAGAGTTTATAGAACACCCTGCTCCTGGTCTCTGCTCCCATAGCTGCTGCCTGCAGCACCCCGTGCTTAGGAAGGGGAGCAGAGCTGCACGGCTGCGCTGCCCACACGCTCGTGCGGAGCCGCTACACCCTAAGCTCAACTTACTCAGGGTACAACCCTGACATCCAGAGAGTCATAAGCTGAAGCTCTCATCTTCTCCAGCGGCCTCCTCAAGAACTGCCGCAGGGCTTCGTAGTCAGGCCTCTCCTCGTACTCCAGTGCCATTGCTTGCTGCAGGTAGCTCTGCAGGGCCTCTGCAAAACAAGCAATAGCAGCGCCGAGGGCAGCACAGCCACCTCAGTCACCTTTACAAGCTGCCAGAGGGACTTTTCCGGTCGACAGATCACCTGCCTCGGACAGGGAAGAAAACAAAACTGAAGACCAGTATCATGAAGCAAAACATCCTAAATCCTGAGGGTTTTAAGCCACCAGAACCCCTGCCTTTTCAACAAGGCTCATGAATACAGACAACAGCCATCAGTCATGCTTGTTTTGCTGTAGAGCAAAGGGTAGGGAATTCATGCACCCACCAGGGGCTTAGCCAACTAGTTTATGTTATGCTTTGTCACTACTGGAAGCCACTTCTGACTAGCATCACAGCAGAGAAGGTGCTAGTTTCAGATACAGTCTGTCCTCTTTTCCCAAGTTCCCCAGTCACAGAGAATATGCCCATACCTGGAATCACTTTCTGCCTGAAGCACAGTCGGAGAAGGCCGGTAACATCCTGCTTGTACCTGGAACAGTCAGACCATAAACAGTGAAGCAAGGACCTGAACGGTTCATCTTTGACAGTCATAACAATGAAAAAATAAAGGGCTGCATTCAGATGGCCAAGTTCTGAATGGAGGTGAAATTGGGATTCAAACACCCTTTCAAGCTGGAGACCATCTGGCCAACTGCTGCCAAGAGTCAGCTTTTACAGTGCTATGGATTTACCCACATTCCAATACCATGTCATGACCAAGGAATTTTCCTTCAGTCATTGCTTTCATCAAAGCATTTCTCACAAGAGTTTACAATTTTCCTACCTTTCCTTCTTCTCCACCACAGTTTCTATTTTGGTCAGCTCATCAGACCAAGGCAAGAAGCCACAGAGCCATTTCAGCAGACAGTAGCCCAGAGATTCCAAGTCACTCCGACGAGATGGTCCTGATAAGAAGGAAGAGAGATCCAAGTGTGAAAATCAGCAGTAACAGAAACGTCAGCAGGTTGGTCTAGTTCCCCACAGCATCCCCCCAGTGAAGAGTTCTAGACAAGCTTTATTAGTTGATGTCAAAGACAAGAGACTCACCTGCTCCCTTGTGGCTATCTAGGCTGATAAACTCTAATGTGCCTTCATGAGGGGTCCTACTGCCTTCACGCAGAGCCACGTGCTTCCCTCCTGGGCAGTAGCGGAATGCAAAGCAATAGCCTGCAAGGGTCACCTACAAAGCACCAACAACACCCGACATCCAAGTGCTACTGCCTGGGGCCAAGCCCAGGACTGTATCTTTTACTCTGCCTTCTCCAGAGGTATCTTCTAACCTTCCCTTCAGGGGAAGTCAGCGCTCCTCATGCCTGATACCTGGTGGCATCCAAGGCACCATCGCTCCTCCCTGGCAGGCCCACCTTCACTGCTGATTGCTCACGGCTTTATTCCTACCTCTGTGAGGTCAAGGGGGTTCACGTAGATGTTCTCAGCCGTGATGTCCCCGTGCACATACTCATTTTCGTGAATGTACTCCAGGCAGTCTAACTAGGAGTAAAGAGAGGAGGCAAGCCCATCAGAGCTGCTCTTGGCAGCTGTGAGCTTGAGAGGAGCTCACAAGAACCACGTGCAACAGCCTCTGGTTTTCTAGTGTTAAGGGTTTCTCTCAAGCTCTTTACTCCAAATTCCCTTGAGGTTACATATTAATAGGCTCAAGGGACACTACTTGAAAGACCTCAGCCAACCCCCTTGATGATCAGCATAGCCATTAACACAGGTCTTTTCTGAACACGTCTCTTGGGAAGGAGAGGTTCTCTACGTACCAGCCGGACTGCAATCTGAAAAGCTGCCTTCTCCTTCAGCAGGTTTAAACCATCATCCAGGATGGACTGAAGGGTTCGCCCCAAATCGGGGAACACAAGAAACCTAAAATAGACACAGACTTTTAGCAGAACCTACCCAATATGACAGTCCTGTAACAGACATTCATCAAGCAGTCTGCTGCTTGGGCTGGATCCCCCTTAACCCTGAGTTCACCTGGGCACAAAATCCATCATTTTCGGCAACAGAACCTCCCTGGAAAGGAGGCATGCTGACCCCATGTTGTACATATAAGAGTCTTCCCTCATGTTAAGTTCAAAGGGCAGATAAGTCCCACGGCACGAGGAGAAGCGGCAAAACGCAGGACATCACCAGCAACATGAGACATGAGGGGAGAAAGGAAACGAATGACAGAGTCCAAGCACTTGTTAGGAAATTAGATATGACCAGAGCACAAGACTGCAAGCTCAGGGAACAGCGAGGCACAGTGAGAATGAAGAGGGAAAGCCCAGAAAGACGGGCAAGGAAGCAAGCAAGCCATGGTGGAAAGAAGTCAGCAGTGCCTTGCACAAAGTGTCTCACCGATAGTTATCGCCGTGCAGTCCAAAGCCAAGGCAGTCGGGGATACCCAGCAAGGGCACAGAATGCAGCTTCTTCCACTTCTCCACTGGAAGGACAAGACAGACACTGCCACGCAGCTCCTGAGCAGAGGGGCAGGCGCAGAGCCACGCTGCCTTCCTCCAAAGGCAGCCTCTGCCTGCGGCAGCTCGCAACCAGGAGCCCTTCTCATACCATTGCTTGGCTGTAAATACTGGCCTAATGCTTGGGATATCAACACGCCAATGCCTGGAGCACCACGGAGCAAGAATCAGTGAGAGAAAAGATGCTGGGAATGCCAGCATGGGCATGTGGTTGCTAAGGGGCTAAGTAAAACAAGAATGGGAGGGAGGGAAGCAAATTACAAACAAAAGGGTGGGAAGGACTTGATTAAGGTCTTTCCAGAAGTCTGTCTTCTGGGTTTGACAGGAATTCCTCCATCACCCTACCCCAACACTTGCCCACGTGCACGGCCAGCTTGCCACACTCTGGCTTTTGGATCAATGAATTAGAGGCCAGGCAGCAGCTGAGAGCAGGGAACCAAGACAAGTCGGACTGCAGGATTCAACAGCTACCAAGAAGACCAAGATACAGAGCACAGGTAGGGCAAGAGAGCTTCAAGTGCTCCAGCGCCAACGTCATGCTGTCCAAAAGTACCTCTTGGGAGAGCAGACACCTGACAGCTGCTCAACGCTCTGGCACGGACCAAGCATTGAAGTAGTTTACTCAAACCCAGACTTCTGAGAAAGTCTCACAGCTCATGTGCCAAGGCTGCCAATTTTCCTAACACGCAGCACAGTTCTCCCCGCTCTCAGGAGCACCAACCTGTGGCCTTCTTTGCAGCCCGCTGGAAGAAGTTCTGTTCATTGTAGATCTTGCCATCTTTCACATCCTAGAGGCAGCACAGAGATGAAGGATGTTATTTTAAGCTACACACTTCCTTGCTAGAAACTTTGGCTGGATTGCTACAAGCACTTCACTGTGCATTTTAAAGAAGTAAGCAACAAGTCCCCAAATCAAGCAGAAGGTAAGAGAGCTGGAAACAGAGCTCAGGACTTTAGGCTCCTGGGCTAATGTTGCATTTAACAACCACAAACTTGCAGCATCAGCACAGGGCTAGGAAGTGGTTATTACAAGATAGGCCTCTCGAGCTCTACTACTTAGGAGTTCTCTGGCGGTTAAAATCTCCTAGATAGCAGTTCTAATGCTGAAGCTGACAAGAAGGTTGTCCCCAGCTCCTTATCTAGAGCATGGATGACGCTATTCCTACAAACTGGCAAGTTCCAACCAGGAGCTGCACCACTTTTAACTGTCAGAAAGCACAAGGTAAGCAAGAAAGACTGTATTCGGGACGCTTCCTGAGCGTCTGTGGAATGGGCTGAATTCTTAGAATACAACTTTTTATATGTTACTGCCCTTTTACTATGGGATGCTACAAGCCAACTTAGGACAGTGTCTTCTGCATGGGAGGAGGCTGCAGTTTTACACCCTGTCTGATCTGATACCAGCCCCACTCTCAACTGGCCAGGTCGCTGAAGAGCAACTGCCTCCCAACAGCACAAGTGACCGTGTTGCAGAGAAAAAAAAATATTTTTATTACAGGTTTTGACCAGTGAGCCATGAAGAGCTGTGCTTTGCTCAGCACCAGCAATGTGAACCCCCAAAGGCAGGGGTCGAAACGCTGCCGTCTGCCGCACGATACCCCCCAGCACTGGGATCCCCGCGGGTGCCCAGGCAGCCAGCAGACTGTGCAGCCAACGTCACATCGCGCCCAAGTTCAAGACAGAGGCGTTGCGAGTGCTATGAACAGAACTAGCTGCAGCTCCCCGCCGACTGGCTCTACTTTTGCAGCATTTAGCTGTCGCTTCTCACTGTCACTTCTTTTCTTTCTCCGCCCTCTCAAATGACTCTGATAAAACGAAAGAGCAGTTTTTCAAACACCTGCAAGAACAGGCACACAGGAGTCCCCACAGAACCATTAGTCCTCATTGGTTTTCCCAGACACCCACTAAGCAAGAGAAAACAGTTTTTCACTCCAATTTGTGAATTACTGGAAATGTCAGCTGAATTCCAATAGCTGAATACATATTACAAAAATAACCCCTTTCTGGAGAACCCAAGTGGCTGGTGAGCAGCTAGGGAGCTGGCTCAGAACTTTTATCACCATGGGATTTATGGATATGCTCTGGCAATACAGAGAGGCTCTCAATGCTGGTTCATCAGCTCAGCAGAGCCATCTAATTCTAACACATCCCGATCCCTCAGACTTGAGCAGGACATACGCATGCTTGTCATCTATGGAGAAAGCACATCAGGTATCTCAACTCTCTTTATACTACATCCGTGAAACAAAATTTCTACCTTATTCCACTAGATTTGGTTCTGGAAACTACAGACAGCCTAGCGGGTCTAAGAGGTAACCACCTGGGATGAAAGTGCTTCTTTTTTAAAAAAAAATCCTCATATATATATATTTTCTTGGCATCTCTATTAGCAAAAATCAACATGTAACAAAATCCAAGCTGAGCTGTAGAGTCATCTCAACTCTGGTGTTCTTTCCCTTATTTCTCTAAGAAAATGTGCGGGCAGCGATGAAGGCAGTGAGAACACACAGAGTCAAACTCGAGGGGGCTTCTGCATCACCATTTTCTTCGAATTCCTCCAACACTGACAGCCCTGCAGGCAGCCAGGTCAGGTCCTAGGCACGGCACACGCCACACTTTTCCTCACACACACCCATGAAAACTCACAAGTTTCAGGGAGTAGCTTTGCTTTTGAGGACAGGCTCCAGAGGCTGACTGTGCTGTGAAAGGATGGAATAAATGTGGTTACAGGAGCACAGAGATGAGGTACTGGCAGTTTTAATTGCTAAAAAAAAAAAAGAAAGAAGAAGAAAAGAAAAGACACAGCACAACTAAGCACAGCTTGTGCATCTGGCTTTTACTTATCCTGTGCTTCTTTCTCTTGGTCTTTGTGAAAGCATCCATGGTGGGCACACCTTCGCACAGAGCACAGGACAAGCCTTACCTCCCTCCACAAGCACAGCACCTTTCACGTGCTTCAAGTGCAGTTCTGCTCAAACCACAGTGGCATCGAGGCATGGCCACAGGAGGGGTACTTTGGAGACGGTTTGCAAAGAGCAAATCGTTAGTAGGACCTCAAAAGTATCTCAGATTCATTTGCTTAGAATCCACTGCAGCTCACTGCAGTTTCTTGGGTCTCTGTAAGAGACGGACTAAAACTGCTTCTGCTCCAAGTTACACACAACCTTTCTCCTCCAAAGAGATTCGCACCCCAAGAGGGGGCCTCGGCGTAGCCTCTCTTCTCCCTTTGGACTCGCTGCTGTGCACAAGTTGTTTGCTGTTCCCCACCCACAAGGTGGTTTCTGCTGTTTTGAGATACCACCTCTTTTTTCTAACACTGCAGCTTTTTAAGACACATGTTGCACAATGAAGGCTGGGCCCGAAGATAAGTGAGCAAAAAGAAACTTGGGCCGAGTATCAGGCCAAGGGAAAATAAAATATTGGAATAGTGCTTTCCGAATGACATCCAAATCTTTCCCTTGGAAGCTTAGACCTGAGCTGGAAAGGAATAAGGGGCCTGGATGATTTAGCTGAAACGTGGTGTGAATCCTGCACGGACAGAGCACACACTGCCAACACCCCCAGCGCGGGAGCTCCTGGGGTGCCGGGCGGGCAATGCTGCCTTTGGGTTTTGAACCCAAACGCAAGGGGAGGAAGAGCTGAAGAGTGGGGTGAACACGGAGGACCCCGCGGCCACCTCGACGCCCCCCGGGGCCGCGGGCGGAGCAGCCCGCGCGGCGCCGCCTTCCCGCCCG